CTCAGCTTTAGTGGTAGCAGGAGTAGATGATTCATCACCAGTAACTATGATGGTGGTGATGCCATCAATTGGTGTAGCCTCAGTAGATACTCTCTCAGTTAGTGAAATAGTTGTGATCTCATCTTTAGTGGTAGCAGGAGTAGATGATTCCTCGTCAGTATATATGATGGTAGTGATGCCATAAGTTGCTGTAGCCTCAGTAGATACTCCCTCAGTTACTGAGATAGTTGTGAACTCATCTTTACTGGTAGCAGCAGTAGATGACTCGTCGTCAGTATATATAATGGTGATGATGCCATCAATTGGTGTAGCCTCAGTAGATACTTTCTCAGTTAGTGAATTAGTTGTGTACTCATCTTTAGTGGCAGCAGCAGTAGACAATTCGTCTTCAGTAACAATAATGGTGTTGATGCCATCAGTTGCTGTGGGTTCAGTAGATACTCCATCAGTAACTGAGATAGTTGTGAACTCATCTTTAGTGGTAGCAGCAATAGACAATTCGTCTTCAGTAATAATAATGGTGTTGATGCCATCTGTTGCTGTGGATTCAGTAGATACTCCATCAGTAACTGAGATAGTTGTGAACTCAGCTTTAGTGGTAGCAGGAGTAGATGATTCATCACCAGTAACTATGATGGTGGTGATGCCATCAATTGATGTAGCCTCAGTAGATACTCTCTCAGTTAGTGAAATAGTTGTGATATCAGCTTTAGTGGTAGCAGGAGTAGATGATTCGTCGTCAGTATATATGATGGTAGTGATGCCATAAGTTGCTGTAGCCTCAGTAGATACTCCATCAGTTCCTGAGATATTTGTGAACTCATCTTTACTGGTAGCAGGTGTTGATGATTCATCGTCAGTATATAAGATGGTGGTGATGCCACCAATTGGTGTAGCCTCAGTAGATACTCTCTCAGTTACTGGGATAGTTGTGAATTCATCTTTAGTGGTAGCAAGCGTAGATGATTCGTCGTCAGTATATATAATGGTGATGATGTCATCAATTGGTGTAGCCTCAGTAGATACTTTCTCAGTTAGTGAATTAGTTGTGTACTCATCTTTAGTGGCAGCAGCAGTAGACAATTCGTCTTCAGTAACAATAATGGTGTTGATGCCATCTGCTCCTGTGGATTCGGTAGATACTCCATCAGTTACTGTGATAGTTGTGAACGCATCTTTAGTGATAGCAGGAGTAGATGATTCATCATCAGTACCTG